CACCTACCTTTAGTTTTCTCTTTTATAAAATGGATCAGTAGTATTTGGTAATCAATGAATTTTTATGATTTGGGGGGGGGGTAAAAGGAATTAGGGATTTGAGATTATGAGACAGGGTGAGGGAGATGATGTAATGTCTCTTTTGACCCTGTAAATGGGAGGGTGGAATGTGGTATTTGATGCTTCCCTTGTTCTTGGCATGTTTTTGGAGTGCTCCTAATAACTCTGTAAGAAAGTCTTATACCCATCTTCCTGGGTGGGGGGCGGTGAGGGGAGCAAAACTCAGAGAGGTTAAGTAACTTGCTCAAAGACATGCAGCTAACAAGTTGCACATCGTGTGTTTGAACCCAGTTCTCTCTGGCCAGACCCCTGTGTTCTTCCTATCATGTGAGGATGAATGAAAATGCTTGAGGAGAAACCCAAAATGAAGGATTAGAAGGCATGCACTCCAGAACTGGTTGCTACTTATAAACAGTGTGACTTTGCATGAGTCATGGGTCTCAGTTTCCTGTGCTATGAAATGGCGAATAATGATCTCTTTCCTACCTCCTCTGCTGGGTCATTGGGCCTGGAGTAAGGGAACACACATATGAAGTGCCTGTTGCAAGTTCTCCATGAGCTCATTTCATCTTTCTGTAACATGCAGATGGGAAAATGCATGTGAAGTACCTCTGCAGAAGCCCTCTGCAAAAGTGAGCTAATCTTAAAAAATATTCATCATCATCCAGGACCCATTTTCTCCTGAGTTCTCCCCTGAGTAAGTCTTGTTAAGAAAGAGAAGTGAATCTGATGTTGAAATATCTGCACTGCCTTAAGCAAGAGTCTTTAACTGCTCATTGCCAGCTCTCCAATTTCCTTTGCAAGTGAAGTGAAAGGTTCATTTGCAAAGCCTGGTCTACCTTCTTGATCCTCACGGGAGAGTGGCCAAGAGAGTGTGAAAATTTTCCATGCTGTGTCCCCTTCCACGGTGGGTCAAAATGCCAGGGTCACCGGTGGTTACCGTGTCTCTTGCCACGACCGGCCTGGTCACTTGGGCATGTCCAGTCTTGAATTGGTTTTTGTGTGTGCTTTGTTGGGAGCAGGAGGTGGAGCTGAGGCCGGCACAGAATTCTCTGTGAGTTTAACCCCATGACAGAGTTCTCTGTGAGTTTAACCCCGTGCAGGACCGCTGGCTTCTTTCATTAGCTGAACGGCTTTGGGGCACGGGGCTTGGAGAGGTGACATCTCTGGCCTCTCCTGCTTTCCAATTTCTGGATTGGCTGAGAGTTTCCAGGTCCTCTGGGCCTGCCAGACGTACATTGCAGGACAAGTGTTTGCACGGCATTAGGGCACCAGCACCTGCAGCTGACTGGCTCCCCTCCTCTTGAGAAGTGCTATTCCCTTTGAGGGTGGTAAAAGATACCCCGACACTGGCTATGGGCCTCATCAGCCTCTACCAGCAGTCTGCAGGACCCCGCTTGCTGTGTGGGCTCCCCATTTCCTCGCCAGACCTACCAGAGTCCTACATGCTCAAGTCAGACTCAGGTGCAAGAGTGAGCAGTTGGGACTCCTGTCACTGTCCCTGAGAGCCTCCGTCCTGTGGCAGACATTCCAGAAGTTAGACCAGCAGCTGAAGCTGAAGCTGCCAGAAGGGGTGCTGTACTATGTCATGCCCCCTGTTACCAAAGTGTGGGGCTGGAGGGACGGGAAGGGTTCTTTGGGCACCAGCGATGGGCCAGAGCAGTGAAGCAGCTGCAGTGGGGAGGCAGCATCCTGAGAGAAAGGAGGAGGATTGTGGAATGGGCGTGTGAGTGTGAGGGGGGCCGGGGGAAGAGAGGAAGAGTGAAGATCGTGTGGAGGGGACGAAGCAGAAAGTTTGAAAGGGCCACTGACTTTCCAAACCCGCAAAGACCTACAGTTGGCCTTTGCCAGGTCCGCAGCCCTCGCCAACCTTCCCGGGACTTCTGGCCCCACTTTCTCGCAGAGGGAAGCCACCCCAAGGCCTTGGAGCAAGCGGGTGGGAATGATTTCCTGCTGTCCGCCCACTGACCATCTCAGTCTTTCTCCCAAGTGGGCAGGGGCAGTGCCACCAGCAGGGCTGGCCTGAACGAGGGGAAAGAGGCACCCGGCCCGGAGCTGGGTGCGCTGGGCCACGGGCGTGACCTGCAGTTGTCTGTTTCTCCGGCCAGTGGCAGGGCCACAGTCTCCTTGGTGTGGACCTGCTGAGCCTGCACCAGGTGCCTACCTGGCCAGGTTGCACCTGGGTACCAGAGGAGGCGACTTCTCCCTGCCCAGTGTCGCCAGCCCCAGCAGCTATGCTGTCTCAGGCCCTCCTGCGTGCCCAAGGCCCGTTGGCAAAGCTTCCCTCGCTCAGATGAGATCTAGGCGGTCTCAGTTTCAGTTCTAGCTCTGTTCTAAGTTGCACCTTCTTTTTGGCCTTCATTTCCACATCTGTCTGGAGAGTTGTACCACGTGTGAATGGTGAGCCTGAACCAGCTGCGGAAAGCCCGCCCGTCCTAGAAATTGGAGACCAGCTTGTGTCTGCTATCCCATGCTGCTCTCTCCTTTGAGCTTCAAGGCTTTCCTTGGGTTTGACTTAACTATCCTAATGTGCCAGGATTCTTGTAGCAGTGTCCCTACTGAGCTGCACCATGAATTAGGATGGCTTTGGAACTGTGGACAGCCCCGCCTTTTCTAGAAGCTTCTCCCTATCTAGCTGTACAACAGCTTTCCTTAGTCCTGCCCTCCACCTTTGGTCCTTCATCCAAGCACCCTTGGGGGTAGAACAGAGGCTGTCTACAGGCACCACAGTTCAGAAATTTGTGTTTCAGCTTTAGTGTGGTCTCACTGCTTTATTTCCTCTCCCCAGGAAGAGGAAGATGTGGTTGTCATAGGAGAGAAGTGGGGGTGGGGACAGGGTTGTCTCAGTTGCAGAGGGTGTTGAGGACGCCTTCCAGTGCTCTGATTGTCTCAGAAGCTGAAGACAGGCGGGTCTGCAGGGTGCATGAGGCAGGAGATCAAAATCGCAGAAGTGACCTCAGATGGGGGCCTCTGAATTCCCAAGTCAGGACCTTCCCAGCCCTGAAAAGTGAACATCTTCAGAGGCTGATCCGTGTGCAGGCCCCTCCAGTCCCGCTGGGTCATGCGTCTATCTGCCGCCTGTGTGCAAGGCTGCGTGGGTGGCACCAGGAGGTGAACGGAGCAGGACCTGTCCAGGTGACAGGAGCAGAAAGCTGTGACACGGGCTGTGCTGTGCTGAGAGGCCAGTGTGGAGGCAGGGGTTTTCTCCAGTCTAGAGGATAAAGCTGAGGAGGTGACATTTGATCCGCACCTTGAAGGCTAGGTGATTTGACTAGCTGGAGAGGGTAGGAAGGGATTTTCTGAGGGTGAGCGGCGCACCTGCCGGGAACAGTGGCAGGAGTTCAGAGTGTGTGGAGCCCCACACGGGGGCATGGAGATCTGCCAGGCCAGGCTTTGAGCAGAGGATGAATGGATCAGGGTCCCAGTGTCAGAAGGTGGAGCTGAGTTGGGAGGGAGAGATTGAAGATGGAAAACTGGGTACTTTGTGGATCAGGACTGTCTGAGCTGATGAGCAATGGGAAGAATGAATGATGAGACAGATCTCTGGGAACTCCAAGAGGATTGGTGCCATTAGGATGGATGTCTAGTCCAGAGGCAGGCAGTGTCCAGCAAGGACTTCTTGACGAATAAATAGGAAGGTGCCATGAGGGAAGAACAGTGGCTTCAGGCAGGTCAGGAGAGGTCTGCTGTGCCATGTGGATCACCTCCCTGGCTGGGGATTGAACTCGCGCTGCACTGGCTGTGGAGAGCTTCATAGTGCTGCGCTTTAACCCATTGTGCCACTAGGGAGGACCCCTGTACTCACATCTTCAGAACAGGGGGTTCAGAGCCTGGGATCTTGAGAAATGGGAACCCAAGTAGAGGAGCAGGTAAGGCAGGTGGGTTGGCGTGTGAGAGCGCTCTGATTTGGAAGTGTGTGCTCTGGCACACAGCGTGGCAGCCCGCGGTGTCTATACCTCATGGGGCTGTGGGGTTATGGCATATGCCAGTGCTGGGCTTGCTGCTCATGTCCTCTGAAGGGTTCTAGCCCTTCAGCCACCATTTCCATCCGCTCTGAAGGCGTGTCCAAGCGAACCCATCAGCTCCGCGCTGCATGTTACTGATACTAACTAGCTGACCTTTGTTGAGTGATTTCTATGTTCTGAGTGGTTCTCCATTTCATTTAATCATGCGACATCCTGTAAGTTAGGTCCTATTCATCATTTCAGCTTCTCAGTTAAGAAAAATGAAATTCACACAACTGTTAAATAATGAACCCAGATGACTGACTCTGGAAGCCTTGTTTTTTTTTTTAAGACTTATTTTTATATATCTATGCATATAAGTACTGAGGTGTAAGCCAGAGATGGGTGGGGGGGGGGTCAGAGGATTCACCAGAGGCAGAGTGGGGAGCAGAATAGGCAGATGTATTGAAATACACTGCTGAGGGGAGCAGCAGGTCAGACAGGAGAGGTCTGCTGCACCACGTGGCCAGCTCCCTGGCCAGGGATTGAGCTCATGTCACAGCAGCTGGTGATAGCTTGATAGCACTGCACTTTAACCCTGAGCCACCAGGGAGGCCCTGGAAGCCTTGTTCTTGCCCTCTGTGGCACTGCAGCCCATGTGAAGATGAGCGTCACAGACGCCCCTGCGATACATAGGGCTTGCAGGGGTAACACTCCAGGGTTGGAGGAGACCTTGGAGATGTCTGGTGTATTTTACAGGTGACAAAATGGGACTCAAAGCATTTATAAGCCTTTTCCAGGAGACAAGGTTGACTGTCAGTGAGTGATCTTTCATCATAGGAGGTGCCACAGGAGAGACATTGCTCCGGTGCTCCAGGCGGCCGGCTTGTGTCAGGCAGGTGGACATCTCTCCCTGCCCGGGCCTCTCCCAGCCAGTCTTGAGTTGACATCACTATCCTCAGCCTTGACCTTGCTTTCCTTCTCATCCTTCCCCAGATTGACAAGTATCTCTATGCCATGCGACTCTCTGACGAGACGCTGTTAGATATCATGACTCGTTTCAAGAAGGAGATGAAGAATGGCCTCTCCCGGGATTATAATCCGACAGCTACCGTCAAGATGTTGCCAACGTTTGTGAGGTCCATTCCTGATGGTTCGGGTGAGTCTCACACCCAGAGGACGGAACGCTTCTGCTTAACCATTCCTGCCAACGTTTCCTCATTCATTCATTCATTCACTTAGGATGTCATCCACCTATTATTCCACCCAGCCATCTCTCCTCCCTGCCTCAACTCCATTCATCCATCATTCACCCACCTATCCATCTCTGCTCCCTCCCTTTAGCCATCCATCACCTTGCATCATTCATCCACACGTCCATCATCCTGCGCCCTCCCTTTATCTGTCCATCCTACGTTTGTCTCCTGAGGGTGTCTCCTGTGCCAGGCACTGGAGACACTGTGGTTGGACAAGGTTGCCCTGCCCTCACTGGCCCAGCTCATGGCTTATGACAAGAAAGAGTGGTGTTGATGGAGCTTACAGGTGCTGTGTGGCCTGTGCTTACATTTCAGAATATGAAAACAAATGAACTGTTCATTTCAGGAGCATCAGTACCCCAGATAAGTAGCAATTCCTAGTGGCCAGGTGATTCTCAGGTGCAGAGGGGAAGATTCAATTCCCATTTGGACAAACTGGATGCTGAACCAAGGTAAACCCCATAGCAGAGAAATAACAAAGGAAGTAGGATTGCAAAGAACAAATCACCCTGTGGGTGTAAGTGGGTGTACCTCTGCGTGGCTTATATGCCTGAGTGGGGAGCACTCCGTGAGGATTGCAGTGCCCCCACTCCCCACCTCCCGCAGAGTGGTTTCAGCGCTGGCACTCGGCAGAGCGAAGGCTGAGGGGTCACAGCCTGGCCTGAAGGTGGAGGCTGTTCTGTCCAGCTGTCCCCCAGTTGGTCATTTGCAGGGCTGGGTGCTGGGTTGCCCTGAGCTGTCTCCTGCACCCAGGGCTGGAGCTCGTCTGCCGCATGGGAAGGGACAGAGATGATGAGGTAGTGCAGTTTTCCTTCGTGGTGTGAGTCCGCGCCCTTCTGCTGCTTCATCCCTGTGCGGAGGTTCCCTGGAAGCGGGGAGTCAGGGCATCTGTGTGCAGCCTCGAGAACAGACACCAGGAAGCTGCTCTGTAGCATCTGATGTTCCTGAAAGACGGGCCAGGTTGTTGGGGCTGACTGGCCACAGCAGGGAAGTCCTGAATGAGGTGCCGACCAAGGGGGCCTGAGCTCCGTCTGCTCTGTGGCTGTGGTGGAGGTTGCTTCGTGCACACACGTTGGCATTCACAGCTCAGATTATCTCTACTCAACTCTTTAACATCGACTCCACCTCCACCCTTTTGTTTTCCTTGAGGTCTAAGTTGCTAGCAGTTCGGCTTTTTAATAACTACCAAAGGGACTCTGGCCCCCAGCGTGACGGGGCTGTGGTGTGCCTGGGTTTTGTTCTGCTGCCTCTGGTTTCATAGTCGCTCCTGCTTTTCCCCAGCCCTGGGCTGGGTAGCACCCACCTTCAGGAGCATTTGGGCCTCCCCAGAATTAGTGGAGTTATGTAGGAGAGGCGGGAGTGCCTGCCTCGCACTAAGGGAAGGAGACCTGATACTGGGGCCTGGCCTTCACTGCCCCCCGGGGCCTGCCCTCAGGCTAGCTCCCCGGGTCAGGACCACATGTCGGGGTGCGCTCCTTCATTCTTTCACAGCTGTTTTCCAGGGCTGAGGGTCCCTGGCATTCTACTACACTAGTAATCGAGCCTTTTGGCCCCACCAGCTGTTCTTCAGTCAGGGTCCAGAACGCTCTCCCATTTGGGAAAAGCAGCATTCTGTAGCTCCCCCGTAGGGATTCTTCACAGATGCCAACCTACGGCGGCTCTGAGCAGCCCTGCAATAAAGAAGCTGTTCAGCCCATCTTTGCAACCTTTCCCCAAGCCTGCTAGGTCTTTCCCGCTGACATCTGTTACCATATTTCATCCTTTTGAGACTGGGTCTGCCTCACCGTGCAGGTCCTCAGTGCCTTGCCTCCCCCAGCCGCCTTCCTGGCGCCTCCTCCCAGACTGTTGCTTCCATCCTGTATTAGTTTTCAAGGCTGCTGTAATGAAGAACGACAAACCTGGTGACTTTAAACGACAAGGACATACTGTCTCACAGTTCTGGAAGCTAGAAGTCCAAAGTCAAGGTGTCAGCAGGACATCGAATCCTTCCGTCCTTGCCCAGGCTCTGTGGGACTGACTGCCAGTCCCGGGCGCTCCTTGACTGCAGAGGTGCCTGACCAGGCTCTGCCTCTGGCACCCTGTGGCCTTTTCCTCCTAGAAGGCACCCGACAGATTAGGACCCACATTAACGGCCTCATCTTAACTTGATGACTTCTGCTATTTCCAAGTAAGGTCATGTTCTTAGATAGCAGCCATTAGGGCTTTTGGGGGGACACAGTGCATGCTATAGACATCCTCCCTGCGCCTCTTCCTAATATCTTGGTTTGGCTCAAGGTCCACGCTCCCCTTGCCATGATCCCTGCAGCCGCACACACAGACATTGATCTTGCTGTCCAGGCCTTGGACACCTGCCCCTGGCTGCCCTGCCCCCATGCTGAGCCCCCACCAGCACCTTCCCTGCACACCTTTACCAGCCAAGACCCAGGAGGTCCCCTGGAGCCACCAGAATGCAGATCTCTTTTGTAGTAAACCATGGTGCTGTTCCCTTTTTGAAATGTTAATCACTGCTGCAACTGTGTAATTAGTGACAGAAGTGATTAATCCCAAACCACCAAAGGAAAATTGGACTCATGGAGTGAAGAGATGTCCCTGCCCATAGTGGTTATGTGACTTCCGAGTCAAAAAGGGGAAAAAACATGAACCTTTCCTTTCCTCTCTGACCTTGGTCCTGGTGGACTGGATTTTTGAAACGAACTGATTTTTCAGGAATGTATTAGCCTATTAAAATTAATGTTTCCCCTTTGAACATTTTCTATGGGCACTGATTTTCTTTAATTGCTCTTCTGCAAAACTTGAAAAAACAAAACCCTGAGGTGGGATGGGGAACTCTAACATGGCTTTTAGTTTTGGAGTAGGAAAGGTACAAATAATAAATCAAAGAAGGAAAATACTGAAGACATTTTGCTCTTGGCTAAGAGGAAGTCCCCCTTCAAGGGTGCCTAATGTTTGGGGTTACCTGCTTCTCCCTGAGAAAACCTTATTCACCCCAGAAAAAAGGAAAAAACAACAACCTTTTTTTTCTGCTTTTCTCAACATCACTAAAGATATTGTAAGTATCAAATAGATTGTAAATCTTCTCAGGATATATTGGGTTGAATGTTCCTTGTTTCTGTTTCATGGATCCTAGTACGCTCTTTACGCAGGAGATGAGTTAAAAAAGTGTTTGATTTGTGATGTGGTCACAGTTCATTTTGGGGTTCCAAATATATACATATATATAGAACTCCTTTCCAGCCAGAGATTTCTTTTCCCATGGCTTTTAGGTTGGTCACTTACTTTCTGTGTCTCTGGTTGGATTATCTCAAAAGTTTGCTCTCACCTATGAAACCTCCTGAATATCTAATGCTCTGGTGGGGCTTTTGAGGGTGCAGAACTGTCATCAAATAGGTGGATGGCAGACAGGAGGAATGCTGTTGTTTCTCATGTAGCAAATGAATTCCTCAAGCAGGGCAAAGGTAGGCATTGCATGAAGGCGGTGTTCTTATTTGCCCTGCATTTCAGTGCAGGCCTGGACTTGAGAGAGACATCTGTCCTGGTGTTTGTTTTCCATTTTTGCTGGTAATTACTGTCATTAGAAAGTGGAGAGTTGCTAGGCCCTTCATATGCTTTGTGTAATGAGGCTTCTCTGGAAGAGTGGTTCTCCTGGCTTCTCTGGAAATGGGAAATGTGGGAAGAAGTTACAAGTAGGGTGCCAGAGGAAGGAAGGTTGAGGCCAAAGACTTGAAGGGGAGGTTGGAGGCAAGTTCACTGCTGCAGAAGAAGGCTGAACTTGAAATGAAGTGGAAAAGAAAGAAAAAAGAGAAACCCAGAACTTTGAATGATTCTGACTGCTTTTAATCAGCTTTCTGGCTCCGATTCAAATATGTATCAGTAAAAAAGGGAAAATAGGTTCTGGTTACTATGGACTGTCTATTATCTCTTTGGTATAATCATCCCATTTCTCATCCATGAGGCTGGGGGTGGCCTGACTCCCTGTTCTAGCCCCAGGGGTACTAAGGTGTGATCCAGGGTCATCCAGAGATTGTCTAGTAGTTTTTTTTTTTTTTTAATTAATTTATTTATGCATACAAGAACTGGGTACAGGCCAGAGGTACGAGGTGGTGAGAAGATTCACCAGAGGCAAAGTGGGAACAGAACAGGTTTACTGAATGCACTGTTGAGGGGAGCAGTGGGCAGGTCAGGAGAGGTCTGCTGTGCCATGTTGGTCACCTCCCTGGCTGGGAATCGAACTCGTGCTGCAGTGGCTTTAGATAGCGTCATAGTGCTGTGCTTTAACCTGTTGTGCCACCAGGGAGGGCCCTAGAGATTATCTAGTTGGGGCCCTCCCTGGTGGCATAATGGGTTAGGACGCGGCACTCAAGCTAGCGGCAGCCCCTTTAGTGCGAGTTTGATCCCTGGCCCCGGCAGTGACCCACATGGCGCATCAGATGTCTCCTGTCTTGTCTGCTGCTCCCCTCAGCACTGTACTTCGTTGATCTGCCTGTTCTGCTCCCTACTGTCTCTGGTGAAGCCTCTGACTTCCCCTGCACCTCTGGCCTGTACCCGAGTTCTGTAAGTATAAATAAATAAATCTTAAAAAAAAGAGAGATTGTCTAGTTGGAAGTTGGAAAGTCTAGTTGAAGTTGCCTTTGTATCCAGAGACTCATCTATCTCTCCAGTCTTTCATGCTGGCTTCCTTCATAGGTTACTCCTCCCTTTTGGTAGTAGAGATAGTCCTGATAGGCCTGGTTGACTCCTGACCACAGAGTCAGTATCTCAGCTTTGGAGAGAGTGATGACAGGCTGACTTGGGTCCTATGCTCATCCTGAACCAATCATGATGGCTGAAGTGGCTGACTGTGTATGTCCCTGGGTCACATGCCTGGATCACACCTTGGTTCCCCTGGGGCTGGAGCAGGGGGTCA